GAAATAGGAAGACAACCAGAAACCAACTCATCAATTTGGATATTTGTCAAAAAGCTACAACTCTGAAACCATTAAAGAGATATTGATTCTTTTGATTTTCTGTGAACTCATGTTTATGATTTGATTATATTGTGAGGTTGAATTAAGGGGCAATGTTTTACAAAATTCTTATATTCTTTTTTTCCTAAAATAAAAGAAATGAGAAAAACATTTTCAAACAAGACAGTCTCAAATGTGAAAGGTTCTTGAAGCTGGTGAGGCTCATTTTGCCTCTATTGAAGAAAGAATAAACAATGTCAGGATAATTGAGCATTTCACATTTTTGAAAGCAAATAGTTTTAGTGATCAGATAGAACATGTGACATTGTCAACAACCTGAGAAGAAAATGAGACATGACGATTCCAAGGACAAGACCAACAAACAAAAATGAGGCTCCATCCAGGAGATAAAACAATAAATAATTCATGTTGCATACATTTTATACATACTTAAGAGCATCACATTTATCATTTTTTGCATACATAATTTTTTCAGCTTTAGAGTCAAGTTTCAACTTCAAGACGAAAGATACTTGATTCAAAAACACCTTAAAAAAAGATTGATAGTGGTTGCTTAACTCAGCAGTAGAGAGCTACACCTAAACCAACTTGACATATTGAAAGATTGACGTATACGACGAGTGGCTAGTTTCCAATTAACGATTTCAAGGAAGATTTCAACTCCACGACGAATGATATCCAGCTGACAGAATATACCACTTGGCTTTCCCGTGAAAGGGAGTCATCTAAAGAATTATGACCGGCTTAGACCCGTGAAGGGGAGCCATTATTCACTTAAAGAAATTGTTCGTAGCATAGCTTAAGTCGAGAATGACTTGAAGTTTAAACTAAGGTGTTTAAGTCAAGAAGAAGACCTGGGTTGGCTGTGATTTAGCAACAGGGAACTATATCCCAGCCAAATTTACAGCATAGCTCAAGGCGAGAAGGGCTATCTGTCAACGAAAAACTTTTGAGTTCGATTCCATTCAACTCGAGGGCATGTCAACAGCATTGTAACAATAAGGAACTACTTTCCGGTTGAAGTTTAAACTGAGGTCTTTAAGTCAAGAAGAAGACCTGGGTTGGTTGCGATTTAGCAATAAGGAACTATATCTCATCCAAATTTACAACATAGCTCAAGGTGAGAAGGACTATCTTTCAACGAAAAACTTTCGAGTTCAACATGTCAACCGCACTGTAGCAGCGAGGAACTACTTTCCGGTTAAAGTTTAAACTGAGGTCTTTAAGTCAAGAAGAAGACCTGAGTTGGCTACGATTTAGCAACAAGGAGCTATATCCTAGTCAAATTTACAACATAGCTCAAGGCGAGAAGGGCTATCTATCAACGAAAAACTTTCGAGTTCGATTCCATTCAGCTCGACGGTATGTCAACCGCATTGTAGTAGTGAGGAACTACTTTTCGGTTGAAGTTTAAACCTAGATCTTTAACTCAAGAAGAAGACCTGGGTTAGTTGTGTTTTAGTGGCAAGAAACTATCTCCCAGCAGCATAGCTTAAGTCGAGAAAAACTATTTGTCAACGAAAACCTTCGAGATCGATTTCATTCAGTTTGAGAGCCTATCAACCGAATTTTCCAGTCAAATTTTCAAACTGAGGTCTTTAAACTGAGGAAAATACCAATGTTGACTACGATTTGGCAATAAGAAGTCACATTCCGATTCAAATTCCGAACTACGGTTTCAATTTCATGAAGAAGAATATCATTTCAAGACTGACTCGACTTCGCGACGGAGGAGTCATTCACAACTCAATTTAACAGGGAGTTATTCCTAATTGCAATATCAGAGTCAATTTTCAACTCCTCAAGGGAGGATATTAGACTCAGAGACTCCTTCATACCGAACGAAAATTTGTGTCCTTTTATCTTTGTCTTATTTTTCGTTACACAAAAAATGACAAAGAGGGGCAACTGTAGACACTCATTTTCATCCAAAGTTTTTTTTTAAATATATAATTATATAGTATAATTTTTGAAAACATTTTCGAAAAACATATAACATATAATTTTTAGAAAACGATTATTAAAAACATATAATATATACTTTAAAAACGGTTTTCGAAAATATATATTTTATATAGTTTTGAAAATAATTTTTAAAAATATATATTATATAGTTTTGAAAAAACATTTTTGAAAACGTTTTGAAAAATATATATAATATATAATTTAGAAAACATTTTCAAAAATATATATATAATATATGATTTTGAAAACCTTTTTTAAAATAAATGTAATTTTCATTTTCATTTTCATTTTATATATTTCATTTTCATTTATTCATTTACTTTTCTTTTTTTTTCTTTTTTAGAGTCCAAAACAGTTCAAAATGAGTCAAACCGGGACTGACCCAGCCCAATCAAAGGATTAAGGTTTCACGCTTAAGCAGGGGCGCCGCAAGAGAAGGAATCAATCACGCGCGTGGAGATATGCACTAACGAGTTGGCCGAGACTTGCGGCCGAATACCCGAGACTGAACCATCCTGGTATTTCCGGCCCAACGATGACCTCAACAGAACGTGAACAAATCGAGTTAACCCCGAGATTATCAGGACCCAAGCAGCCCTTCGAAGACTATAAAAAGGGGGCCTCACCAGAGCACAAGATACATTATCAACAATCGACAAGCAACCGAAATCACCAGAAAAACATACAAACACAGCCAACAAAAAACAACGAAAATACCCATCACAACATCAAAGCAAAAACAAAAAAAATCAAAACTACACAGCAACCCACAAACCACAAAGACCACAAGGAACCCAAAGATAATTTTCGATTTTGGCTTGGGAGAGGAGAAGTCAATGAGGAAGCAAAAGGATATCACCGAAAGAAAGGGTAAAAATCGAAACTTTATGCTTAGATCTACGTCGGAAAAGGCATTTTTATGAGGTTTTGGGTTCGAATTTTACTTCAGGGTGTTAAGGGGAACGATTTGGGGTATTTTTTAGTTTTCCTCTGGTGGCCGGAGGGACAGTTGGCGGCGGTCCGGGCGGTGGCACCCCTATCGAGAATGGGTAAAATGATTTTTTTTAGTTTTTGGGTTATATATAGCCGAGGGACTAGAGGGTAAATAACAAATAATTTACTTATTTTTGTGGCCCCTATAACTTTGAAATATAATTCATTTTGGTCACCTATTGTAATTTGGCTCTGAAATTTTGAATTAATTCAATTTAGTTCCCATTTATATTTCTTATATTTTGCAAATTTGCCTCCTAACTTTCATTTTTCCTTTTGCAACTTTCAATTAACATCAATTCGATCCTTAACTTTTAATTCTTTCCAATTTAATATTTTTTAATTTGAATTTTCTTTCATTCCTTTTATTTACTTTTTTTATTTACTTTATTTCGTTCTTTTCGTTCTTAATACTAACTCTTTGTTTTTGTTTGTATTACTTTTTAACTTTATTTTTGATCGTTTTAGGACAATTTTAATGGATCAAAAGGTAAATAATTATGATCGAATTTTTAAATTTTCGCAATTAAGACAACTAATAAATTGAAATGGTATCGAAATGGCAGTTCAAGGGTATTAATTCTTCCTTGACTGTAACCGACTCCCGAATCTGACACATTTCTGGTAAAATACAGATCATGTAAGATGGTGTCTGATCAACCAATTGTTTTTTTTTTAAAAGTAAATGATCGGTAGCGGCTCTAACGTGTTTTAGTTAAGTCGAAGCTCAATTTCGAGCACACCCAAAAGACGATTGTGACAACTATAAATGACATAATGAACCAGATCCATCAAATAATTTCTCGTTTACCAAGCAATGTACGTAGGCGTAATGACAAGTATTGGCCGGGTAAACCAATAGAGCAGAATACTCCACGAAGAGCCTTAAATTAGGTATGAAAAACCCTGAGATAAGCCTAAATTAAGCTTTTCAACTTCACTCGTCTATTATTCTTCAAACGATGATAGTGGATCTCGAAATACCAACACTAGCAACAGTCCCACCCAACAAAAGCATTATGAACAGTGTTATTATATAATGGTTAAGAAATCAAAGTCCACCTAATACTCTTAATCTTGTCCCCTTCTTTCGAATTCCATTGAAAAACAAAGTTGCTGACTCTGAGCTTCGCTGTTTTCCATTCACTAAAGTCACCATTAAGTAAAATCGCATGCTTATTTGCCACTAAAGTTTTGGCTTATCAAACCCTGTGGCTCTCGATTCTTGAATATTCTATATTCTACCCCACTCGTTATACTTTCTTATAAATTAGGGCAAGGTATACGAATGATCCCTGGTTATAGTATGTTGTTGTTTTTGAATTTTCCGATTATTAAAAGTTATAGAATGTTTATATGGCAATTGATAGGTTATAAACTCGGTATTTTCCGTTAAAAAATTGACGACAATCTGAACTCGACGTTGACCTCCTGATTGAGATATGATAAAATCTGATCCTACAATCTCAAACGACTATACAACTCAAACGATTCCGGAACCAGATTTACCATATCTCAGTCAGCAGGTTAACACTCTGTTCAGATGATCGTTAATTTTTTAAATAAAAAAGGATGAGTTTAGAATATATGAATAGTTAAATTACCAGTTTATAACTTTTAATAGTCGACATACTCACTAAAATAACAATGTATAATCGAGATATTATTTTTTAACTTTTAATAGGTACCCAATACAATCATTTAATTAATATCTATTTATTATAAATCATTTTATAGATATAAAATATAGTAAACATAATCATGGCATAGAAATAATTAATTCTGAGATTTACGTACACCTCTACTTACTTCCGTGACTCAATTGGCATTTAATTTTATAGGTTTAAATATTTATTAGATGCTCAACATCCACCCCCATTTACTTTAGCTAATGGAATCAGCTGTTGGAATTTGACATGCATGGCACATTTTTGTTTATATATTCTAAGACACCAAACGCATTGCTACATACTAAACGCTCTCCGGAATTCTCTTCTTCACAAGTTCACAAAAGGTACCTGTATAGATGTTATATATGGTTATTATCTACATTTTCAATTAATTATGCCAATATTACGTACATTTATTTTTACATCGAAACATATATCTCATTATGTGTTTTTAACCTAATTTTTTGTTAAGATGGAACAATTCGATTCATTTCAAAAAAAAATATTATTTTTTATTTTAAATAATTCGAATCAATTTAAATTTTCTATATGAATTTTAAGTCAGAATAAAGTTTAAATCTTTAAAGTTTGAATAATCGAAAATTAGAAAAAAATTAAACGATATCATTTTGATCTTACCCTAAATAATTTGAATGTTTTGCTACTTAGTCCTTTTTTTGTTTTTTTCATTTTAAATATTTTTTTACCAAACATAAATCAAATACCCCAACCAATATAGATTAGCTATGTAGCTTCAATTTCTCTTTTTGACAACAAATTTATTCCTTTTGTATTTGAGTCTCAACTTTATGTTGTTTCCTTTTAAGTCCATTTTTTGACCCAATTTAAACCAAATGCTCATCTATAACTGTAGAATACTTATGTAATTTCAATTCCAATTTTTTATAATATTTTTTTTCAATTTAATATCTTAACTTTACATTATGTTCAATTTAATCATCGGATTGTAGTTCTTTATAATTTTTTTCTTTCCACCTATTCATTGACTCTTTTATACTCTTCTCAATTCTTTGTCCTTAAAATTTGTTCTTCAAAATATAATATTATAAATATAATAAATAATTTCAAATGATTTTTTATTTATTAAATAACATTACAAATCTTACTTATACATAGGGATGGGCACGAGATTTGTACCCGACGAGTTCTGACCCGATCCAACTCTATTGGGTCTTTTTTTTTTAATTCAGGTTCGGGTCGGGTCGAGTTTTTTAGAGGATATGTTCAGGTCGGGGTCTGGTTTATGGTGAAAAATACTTGACCAACTCGATCCGAAAAATAATATATTATACCTTATATCTAGAGATAATTGTAATAATACACCTCTTTATATTTATTTTTTAATTAGATCTCTATTTTTATTAAATAAAAGTAACACATTTTTATAAATGTATTTATTTCGGGTCAGGTTCAAGTTTTTTTCTCAAAAAAGTGGGTCGAGTTCAGGGTAGGTAAAGTCACCCTAAATCCAGGTTGAGACGAATTTCAGGTGGAGGATGCATATTTTTTTGGTCAAGTCGGGTTGGCTAGAAACCCGACCCAACACGACTCATGCCCATCTCTATCTACACATGCAAATATATATATAATATGATTAAAAAGAATTGTTAAAATTAATATCATATCATTATATTATATATTAGATTTGACTCGAATTTCATAAACTTAATTTAAAAAAATTTGAATGACCATAAATTTCAGTAACTCAAATTTTTTATACTAGAATATTCACCTCTACTTTCCTTTTGTTCTTACGCGTAACCTTTAATTGTAATACAAGTATAAATTATCCAGATTTCAAAACTCAATTTTCCGAGTTGCAAAAATGATCTCGAATTGCTGCTAAAAGAATCAAAGACGTTATATAATATCTTTTCCATTTTTCAGGCCAATGGGGTTATTAAATCTCTTCATTGTGGCACTAATGCCCGTTCTCAAAGTAATTATGATAACTGGAGTTGGCTTGTTCATGGCTTTGGATCGCATAAAGCTCTTGGGACCCGAGTCAAATCACCATTTGAACCAAGTAATTCCATATAAATCAACCCTCCCCCCCCCCCCCCCCCGGACGGTAATTCTTCTATTTCTTTTCTAATTAACGTTTTATTTTTCTCATTTATAGATTGTATTCTACGTGTTAAGCCCTGCACTTGCAGCCACCAGCTTAGCTGAAACGGTCACTTTCCAAAGTTTCATGACACTGTTAGTTCCACACCTTCTTGCTTTTATCTTTCTTTCCTGCAATTTTTGGTAATGATTTTGGGTAATCAGGTGGTTCATGCCATTGAATCTTCTGCTGGGATTCGTTCTGGGTTCGATACTGGCATGGCTTCTCATCAAAATTACTAAAACTCCTAAACACCTTCAGGGCATCGTCATTGGTTGCTGTTCTGCAGGTGGATTCACCCGATTTATTCTTCTTTCAGATTTAAATATTATGGATTTGCGGATATCAATAACTCTATTATCATATTTTGCTTTGAGTTTTTATTTGGGCTATTTAAATTTAATTACCATGGATTTTCAACAGGAAATACTGGGAATTTGCCGCTGATTATGGTTCCAGCAGCGTGCGAGGAGTCAGACAATCCATTTGGAGATCCATCTATTTGTTCCATGCATGCTAGGCCATATGCTTCACTTTCTTTAGCGGTATTATAATCTTAAGTTTTTTTTACCACTTAATGTCATTAATTATTGTATTTTGTCTCTAACCGTTAATTTTATAACAAGATATGTTAGTAAAAGAGGTTAATTTTTAATTTGGCCTTTTTAATTTTATATAGAATACGAATAGACCTCTAAATTATATATAGAATATCTTATTCACTCATATACATTAGATGAAATATCAATTTAACCTTGAATTCAACTAAGGTCTCCTGCCATCAGTTGCCACTCATCACCGTCGCCTTCGATCGGCATTGTCCGCCATCACTGATCACTATTGGACATCAAAATTTATCCTTTTTTTATCTCTAATCTAACAAATAAATTTTATGTTAATTTTTTAATATAATAATTATGATTTGAATGACATTTATATAGATTGGAGCGATTTATATATGGTCGTACGTGTTTGTTGTCCTGCGATTGTATGTAAATACAGAAATGGAAAATGATTCCACTTCTGAAACACTCCCCAGGAGTTCCACTGAATTAGCTGTTCTTCCTTCAACTAATCCAATGCATCTCACCAGTTTCGGTGGAACAATGACCAAGGTCTGTTTCTTTTCCCATTCTCAACTAAATTTCGAACTTTTTTTCTCATAAAGATTTTTCTAATATAGATGTCAGCTTGGAAGAAAATAATGCAGCGAATGAAGAGCATTTCGAAAAAGGTTGACCTAAAGAAAGTGTGTGCACCAACAGCAGTTGCAGCGGTATGCTAAAATTGAAAATCCATCATATTTGTATATACTTCTTTCACGTATCGTAATCGTATGCGCAGATTGTCGGGTTTATAATCGGAATAGCATCTCCAATCCGGAAACTATTGATCGGAAATGAAGCTCCTCTTCGTGTAATCGACAGCTCTGCATATATATTAGGGTATGAATGCATGCTTCCTTACACATTCTATATATTCATTTCATTTACAAATAAAAATGATGTTAAATGCAGGGAGGCAGCGATTCCATGTATGACTTTGGTCATGGGGGCCAATCTTTTGAAAGGCTGGTGTTTTTCACTTTATTTTTTTTAAAACAACTAGAGTAGACTCTATTTGGGTCATTTTGCAAAATAAAAACTAATAATAATACTTCTTGTTATCTTTTAACAAATATGATTGTTGTTGTTGCAGGTCTAAAAGGATCGGATGTGAGTCGAAGTGTGATAATAGGGATAATAGCGGTGAAGAACGTATTATTACCATTAATAGGGATCGGTGTTGTTAAAGCAGCTCTCCATTTGGGGTTGGTCCCATCAGATGATAAGTTATATCAATTCGTTCTTATGCTTCAATTTGCTGTTCCATCTGCAATTGCCGTAGGTAATGTCTGTGACACCAATAAACGATCAAGTCAAAAATCTATATATGAATGCGAACAAACTAAATATATAACACACATTGAATAAGAATATAATATGATTAAAATACACCAACACAATATAAATATTTGAATATTTGATAATCTGTTGAACATTGACAGGTACCATGACCGAATTTTTTCAGCTTGGTCAATGCGAAACTGCAGTGATAATGCTTTGGACTTATGTAGTAGCAGCATTCACCCTCACACTTTGGTCTACCTTGTTCATGTGGATTCTGGCTTAGTTATTTGCTGCTCAAATACCAAAATCAAAAGGAATAAAAAAGGTTAACTTCCCTAGATGGGATAGAATATTTGTAGCTTCTAGTTTGTTTAGATTTTCATATAAAGGATACTGGAATTTTGAATGTGTAGTAAATTTGATCTAGTTTGAACAATTTATTTACAATGACGAGTTATGCTTAATGGGAACTGATATACGAGGCTAATATAAGTTCAATGCAAATGTACTTACATTATAATATTTTCTAACATATTAAATAACACTTCCAATGCAGATATACTTTATAAATGTGAACACTTTATAATATTTTCTAACAATATTATTGCTTTTCACTTAAATAACACTTTATAAAGTGTTCATATATTTTTCCATAAATATTAAATATGAACACTTTATAAAAATATATATTTCTAAAAATATATTTATGAACGTGTTCTTTAAGTAAAAATTAATAATATTGTTAGAAAATAAGAATGTGGTAAAATAACGTCAATAATATTGATAAGAAAGTGACAATGAAATAGCGTATATAGAAATTATTATTTTAAAAATAATTATATTTGGATTGGTGTAATATTGAAAGTGAACACTATCTTACAAGATTAATATAACCTTTCAAACTTTGTACCGTACTCGGAGTGAGGAAGTGAAATTTACTTGTGTTGCTTTCTTCTACAGGAAATTTTTATGAGAAGGAAATACTGAAACCATTAATTGTGTGTTCAAATTAGGGAGAGAAACTATTCATTTTATAGGAGTAGTATAGGGTAAAACTGTAAGTGACAATTATTCACTCCAGTCACTCCTTAAATATGATAATTCACTCCCAAAAAATAGACTCTAACACCTTGCATTACTAATAATCCCCAACTAATGTAAATAAATAGAGAATTTTGAATACGAGAAAAGAATAATAACGATATTAACCGCTTAAGTACTAGTGAACATATCTAAAACTAATACGTAGTGGAATGAGTGATTTTTCTCTTAATAGGTGAATGAATCTAGAACTTGTTAAAATAGGAGTAAACTCAACGTACGACTAACTTCTTTAACAAGTGACTTCCGTGAAAGATCAATAAATTTAGTCAAATATATCCCGAGATGTTGGTAAGTGCTTTAGAAAGATAGTCCAAAGTCATTCGTAGAAGGTGGCTAATCCTTTACACTTACGTAGGTGATTTCATCATGTCTATCTCAATATAGACCACTCAAATCAATGATATGAAAGCATTAAGAATATTTAAAAAGCTCAACCTCTTAATTTTTAGGATTTAATGAATTCATCAAGTCCGTCTCACAGGTATTACTCAAAGCATGAGATATGAATTCATTAACAACATTTAATAGTTCATATCACAATTTGATGTATTAATTATATGTTCATCTTACAATGACTACTCAAATCCTCAGCTACGAGCTTTTTAGAGCATAAAACTCAACCTCTCAAGTTAATGAATCCATTAAATTCGTTCTCCCTAAGGTCATCCAAATTTTGGGCTATGTATTCGTTAAGAATGTGAAACTCATTCTTTCACGTCGGTATATTTATCAAGTCATTCTCACTAGAACCATCTAAGATCTAAACAATAAATTCATTAAGATAAAAAACTTGTCTTAAAATAAATATTATATATATATATATATATATATATATATTTTTTTTACAATAATACTAAATATTTAAATCAAACAATCAAACACTCTTTTAAAAAGTATTTTTTGCATTAATTTTCAAAACCAAAGTTAAACTAAACATTAAACATATCAAAGTTAATTATTCATAAAATACAAGTAAATTTAAACAAAATTTAAAATTAATGAATATATATATATAAATCCCAAACTGTACATATTTTCTCATTTAGGTGTCTGAATCTTTCTTTTTATCTATTTAGGTGTCTAACGTTTCCAATGTTATTATTTAGGTACCTCAACTATAACATAAGTTAAAAAAATTGTCAACCACTTAGAAAGTGACACGAGACGCCTTTATAAATTTTTTAAAAAAATTATTTTTTAAAAAACTTAAAATTATTATAAATTTTCAAAGGTCTCAAAGTTTCTAAAATCTCAAAAATGTTTCTAAAAACCTTAATCCCAAAACATCTACCCACCATCCGTCCACTACCATTGTCACCCCCACTTATCGCCTACCCACCCATCATTGTTCCTCAATCGTAACTTCAAATCCCCAAAATCCACAAACCAAAACCCTTAAATTTAAACTCTAAATGCTTAAATTTTAACACATATCAATCCTAATCAATGTGTGAATTATCGAAGGTTGGTCGGCAAGTGAGTGGGTGGTCACTTACTATGATGGTGGCCGGTGGGGTGAATTAAAGCTCTTGTGGTATTTTACGAAAAGTATGAAAAGTTAGTGGTTTTTTATTTATTTATGAATTTTATTTTTTAAAAAATTAAAAGAAATAAAAAAATTTTGAACACTTGTAATAATTTTATAAGTTAGGTACTTATACTGACTAAAAAAACCTTAAGCACGTAAATAAAAAATATATAATTTAAACACTTATTTTTATATTAAACCTTCCAAAAATTTATAGCATGAAACCCTCATCAGTCACCACCACTCATTCTATTTGCCCAATTATATGTTTAAGTTCAATTAATTTTGCTTTCTTTTTGGTACCACTTTTTGTTCAATTACTATTATAGTTAAACCAAATTTGGTAAGATTTGAAAAAAAAAAAAACTCAAGCATAGATGAAGATAGAGCTCGCAATAAGTTTAGATTTAGTAATTTGTTTGTACTTTGCATAAAGATTTATTTCATATCTAATAAAACTAGCCGGTATTAGTTCAAAAATATATAATTTGTTATTACTTATTATCATTTGAAAAATATAACTCTAATTATTATCAATTATTTACTAATTTCACATATATATATATATATAACACTTTAGAACTTTATTTTCTACCTTTTCAATTGATTATATCTCTCATCACCGATTTTCAAAATTGTTTCTAGCTTGAAACCACTTTTGTTCTTACATAATTATAAGGGTAAAGTACATAAATAGTCTCTCCATTGTAGGATCCTATTTTATTGAGTCCCTCGACTATTAAAAGTTATAAAATGATACTTCGATTATAGACTGTTGCTTTGTTGAGTCCATTAACTATTAAAATTTATAAAATGGTCATATATATGAGTATTCATACGTTTCAAAATTTGTCATTTTGTATTTAAATGTTGACAACTATCTGAGTTAGACGTTGATATGATGACTGTGATATGATAGTCATTTGAGATTTTGTGATCATATTTTATCATATCATAGACAACATGTTATGTCCAGCACAGACTATCGTCATTTTTTTAACCGAAAGGACGAGTTTGAAATATATGAATAGTCGGGTGACCATTTTATAACTTTTAATAGTTGAGGGACTCAACAAAATAATACTCTATAGTCAGAGAATCATTTTATAATTTTTAATAGTCGAAGACTCGACAAAACAATATCAGGATCATTTGTGTAGTTTATCCATGTTACAATAAAAGTACAAATTATCCAGAGTTGAGTTTTCAGAGTTACAATAAATATCCGGTGTTGCAGCTAAAAGAACTTAAGAAATTGTATAATTTATTCTCCATTTTCAGGTCAACGGGGTTTGCAAATCTCTCCGTTGTGGCACTAATGCCCGTTCTCAAAGTAGTTCTGATGACTGGAGTTGGCGGCTTCATTGCATTGGATCGCATAAAGCTCTTGGGGCCTGAGCCAAACCGCCATTTGAACAATGTAATTTCGTATAAATCAACCCTTTTTGTCTTCAATTCTACGTGTTAAGTCCTGCGCTTGCGGCCAGCAGCTTAGCTGAAACGGTCACTTTCCAAAGTTTCATGACACTGTTAGTTCCATATATACCTTGTTTTAATCTTTCTTTTCCTAAATTTCCCTCCATAAATCTCTGATATATGTATTTGTAGAGTAGTGAGTTGATTTTTTGTTCATGATTTTGGGTTATCAGGTGGTTCATGCCATTAAATCTTCTGCTGGCACACATTTTCGGTTCAATACTGGTTTGGCTTCTCATAAAAATCACTATAACTCCTGGCCACCTTCAGGCCATTGTCATCGGCTTCTGTTCCGCCGGTAAATTTGTTAAAGATGGAATACATGGTATCTGATTATTTCTTTGTTGGGCTTGATGTTTTAATTATCATTTATAATCGACGTGGACATTAACCTTATAATATTCATTATTTAGACTTTAGATTACTTTTACATATAAGAATAAAGATGCACGAATCAAGCTACCTCAGTGATTAAAATAATAGTTGTTATTTTTAGGGTCTCAAATTCGAGCACTAGAGACTTTAAGGTATTTAAGAGTTCATAATCAAATATTTTTAAGTTTTTAGAATAGATACTACCACTTGAAAGCACCCTAAATTAATAAAAAAACATATAACAATTAAGATATTTAAATACTCTATTTGATATTTCAAAAAAAATTTATTTGAAAACTCATTTAGTTATCTTAATAATAATAAAAAAACATTCTTCTATTTTTAGAGGATTTGAATTTTAACAGTTGTATTTCTAAGGTGAATGTTTTATTGATTAATTAAGAAAATTTTGAACAAATATTATATTATAATCTTCAAAGACTATTAAAAAATAATGTAAATAACATAAGAATTATGAATTGTAACTTAAATATTATAAAAGATATAGATATTAAACTCTGTGTTATACCTTATATGTATCTATTTTTTTATTAAATTTTTTCCTTTGATTTTGAACAGGAAATGTTGGGACTCTCACTCTGATTATGATCCATCTCTTTGTTCTTTACATGCTAGGCCTTATGCTTCACTATCTTTAGCTGTATGTATCATTCTATATCTAAATTCACACACACGGATATATTTCTGTGGCTTTTATTATTATTTTATGAATGGAACGACCTTTATACAGATTGGAGCAGTTTACATATGGTCATATGTATATGGAATCATTCGGTTGTATGTAAATAAAGGTATACAAAATGACTCCACTTCTGAAGCAGTTGAAGAAAGTTGCACTGAATTAGATGTTCTTCCATCAATTGACGACGACGGTATTCCACTACTTCCCACCAGTTTCAATGGAACAATCGCAAAGGTTAGTTTCTGTTTCCTTTTTCATCTAAAT